CCTTTCCCAGGGTTTTATTTTCTGTGTTTTCTGAGGGTTTGCAGGAATTGCATCTAAGATGAACTGAGGAAGTGTTTATATAGCCAGAACACTTCCTGTTTTGTAAATGAATAATCCTGAAAAAGAACAAAATGGGTTTATTTATTTATATCTAGCCAAGCTATCACAAAGCAAGAGCTGTTCAAAGTACAGTACACATTTGTACAAAAACACAGTTTACAGAAATAAAATTGTCATTAGTGCAAATTATATGATCAGCAATATAAAATCTGGAGAATGCATTTAAAATACATAATTTCTTTTCTAAAATGTTTCCTATGTGTCAAAATTTGCTACTACTGCAATTTACACAAATCTCATTAAAACAATATAAAACCTGAATTAATTTGTATAAAACAAAAGCAATCATGTACTTCTCTGGAACCATGAAGCATTCCCCCTTAATCTACCATTCCCACACTATTTGCCCCACCAGGTCCCGAAATGAAGATGCAAGACAGTGATATGGATTGAATATGGGCCACACTTTATTAATTCAATACTGATTATAGATCTCATTGTCCTCGTAAAATGAGGGGGCCTGCGGTAGTGCAGAGAAAGAAACGCAGGGCATCCACGATACCCTTAACAGCCAATGGACGCGTCCCAGGCCCCAGAGAACATCTGTCTTGACAACATCAGGAGCCTGGGCAGCCTCTATTAAACACCCCAGACCTCGAGCCATCTTTATTTGGTGCCTTTCGGTCCCAAAGTGGCCCAGTGCATCTACCCGCTGCTGGCCCTGTAATCGCATGATCCACAGAGCCAGTAGGTCGGATGCGCTGTTGGCTTACCATAATTATCAAAGGGACACACCAAGACAACCAGTTTTTTCCCACACTACCCACCAGTATGACCAAGAAAACCCACCACTCAAATACCAACAACCCTTCTCCAGTGTGGGATAGGCGAAAAATCCCTCCATCCAAGAGCCAATCAGGATGGAGGTCAAAAATTCCCATCTGGCCCCATAAGGTGACCAAAATCACACTAGAAAGAGGGCAGGTGGGTGGGCGCCTAAACAAGAAAGAGAACGATTTGGCGGCTGGCGCTTCATTAAATAAACGCCAGCCCCCTCCTCCTTTGTCACGTGGTTGGGCTGCCTTGCGTCCTCCGGAACCGAGGAAGGCAAAGGCCGGCTCCGCAGTTCAAGGACTTTGCAAGGTCCTTCCTGCGATCGGAACCGAATTACTACAGGTAGAAAACATGCAACCCCTCTTGTTAGTAATGTATATTGTCTACGGAGAAGAAAGATTATCAACTCAGAGACAGATCTATCCACATACCTGTCTTAAATTTGATGCAAGTATAGTTTTCTTAGCACATTATAGAAAGAACAACTTATAGCAACATGTAAAAGACACCGATGTTAGGAAAGTGTGAAGGCAGGAGGAGAAGAGGATGACAGAGGATGAGATGGATGGACAGTGTCAGCAAAGTGACCAACGTGAATTTGACCCAACTCTGGGAGGCAGTGGAAGACAGGGGGGCCTGGCGTGCTCTGGTCCATGGGGTTACAAAGAGTTGGACACGACTAAATGACTAAACAACAACAAAAAGGTCTTCCATCCATTTTAAATGACAGGGATAAATATGTCTACAATATACTCTATCAGGAGTGTTCCAATTTGTGCATTTGGACTACAGCTCTCAGAAGTCACCAGGGAGCAAAATCTGTTGTATTCATTTATCTTTGAAAAAAGTTTAAGGCTTCAGATGTGGCATTACTGAAAACTGTCCTACATCTGAATTTTTGTAAATCTTTAGTAAGGTAAAACAATAAGGCAAGACTGGTCCCTGTGTCCATAATGTATAAGAGAAAAGTATGTAAGTACCTCTGTTATTGTTATATTACTTGATAAAATCAGTTACTTCTATACGGAAATCTACAAATTAACCAGTTGTTGATAATAATCAATAATATAATGATGTAAGAGCAAGTAAACTTTCAGATAGCTACATCTACAATTGATTGCTGCTTCCTTATACATCACCTTATTAAAAAAAGTATTGTAATTTACACTCAAATATCTTATTTGTCTTTCACTGATCTTAAGCCTGAATTTGATAACATTTGAAAAGAGTCACTCTGTAAAATTACTAGCATTTCATACAATGGTTAGATATTTGTCTTTAAAAACATTTTGACTACCTCAAATGCAAATGGCACACAACTAATAGATTTAATAGATTTACAATGCCTTCTTCAGTTCTTTGGTAATTATTGTGGAAAATGAAGCCTTGTGCAATATGGATGACCAAAGTGACTCAGTTTTTTCAGAAGACACCTTGCAATGAAAATTAATAAGGATGGAAACTGAGCAAGTAAGATTTGGGGCTACTTAAGTGCAGCATTTTCACACACAAAAAAGCTGGACACAGTGATATGGTGTACACATTACAACATCAGGATTTTTCATTGGGACTTACTCCTGAGGATACACGCTGCTAGACTATGAAAGTTGTTCTACTGAACAAAGTTGGAGGGAAGCTATTTTATGAAACCATTTCTCCTCAAATTTCTCCATTGTATTATTCACTGAATCCTGCATGGGATGGCTGTCCAGCCAGATACCGCGCACACTGTACGTACAAAAGATAACTTCTTGATCAGGCATAACATGTTTGCTAACTCTTCTTAATAGGGAAGATAGCTGTTTTCTATTGCCAATGATATTTGTCACATCTGTTATGTAGGAATGAGAGAAGGCGATGGACTGGTACATGGTAGGAAAGTACAGTGAACCATTTTGTCAAGTTGAAATTAAAGAGTGTCCAGTTCATCCTAAAATCTATCATTTGTTCCAACTAATGGTTACATCAGTAGATTACAAATGCTATTTTAGATATTCATGTCTAGATCTAAGTGATGGACCTCCTCTTCTGTGTATAAATAATTTCTTATCTGGCCCCATGTATCATTTCATTCTCGTTCATAGTACAGAGGGTGGTTCCAGTCATATGCCAATCAGTGGGTTGAGGAATGAGGCTCTGCACAGATAAGGTAGCTTTTGAAGAAGTAGTCATGTTAGTCCATGGGAACATATTAGACAGAGAAAGAGAGAGATCAACAAGAGACACAAACATAGTGGCACCCTAAAGTCTACATGTTATATTTTAATGTAAGCTTTAGCGGATCAGATATTAGACTGAAACCATAAAACTATCATATATATATATAAGGCCCATGACCAGTTGAGGGTATAGATAATGAACAAAGTGATAATGGTTTATTGGTAAATAAATAGGACTATCAGTCTGCAAATGATTGCAATTATGGGTCTGACTATCACATTGTAAATAATTACAATTATGAATATATAACATAACAATATCATTGTTCACACAAGTGACAAACTGTGAGATTTCACACATGGCAGCGGCTTAAGAACCGTTGACTGATAGTCACTCCTTTGGAGTGCGTCTTCTGCATCCATATTTACCTTATCTCAGCTGTTTCTCTTTCAACTCTACTTCTGTAGTGTTTTGTTTTCTAACACAGTGACTTTCAGGTCATTTAAAGACTGTCCAGATAGACTGAAATGTTCTGAAACAGGTTTTTTGTTGTTGCCATTTCTAATATCAGATTCATGCCCATTAATTTTTGTTGTTATTGTTATTATTTTGTATAGAAATTGTCCTGTTTGTCCTACATAAAATGCAGGACGACATTGTTGGCAAAGGATGACATAGATTCCATTAGCTGAAGAGCAAGTAAACAAGCCTCTGAAGTTCTGTGTGGCATTGTTAGGGCCTTTCATTGTGTTGCCAGAGCAGACATGGCAACATCAAGGTTTGCAGTAGAATTTAGCCTTATCTTTCTTTTTCTTCAGGGAAGTGAGTTGCACATTGTAGATATTTTGTTATGTGATAGACAGTGTCTGCCATACAGGGCTGGTTCTGCACATGTGATTCAAGATCTTCAATTTTCTTCTGGAATTTTCTTTGCTATATATGATGTTGATTTGGTGGTTCCATAACTTTTTGGAGAGACTGTTGTATAATATTTCACTAGAGTCAGTGGGGCATGTTGACTATAAAGGGATTTTTACTGTAAATCCTGTTATTTGCACTTCGTAAGTAAAATTATGACTGACGGTTGTTGTGGGTTTTTCGGGCTCTTTGGCCGTGTTCTGAAGGTTGTTCTTCCTAATGTTTCACCAGTCTTTGTGGCTGGCATCTTCAGAGGACAGGAGTCAGAACTCTGTGCTCTGGTGCAGTTTGTTTGAATAGTTGAGTATAGCTGCGGGATCAGCTTTTGTCCTTTTCAGAAGATGGGTGATTGTAGTGGTCAATGTGTTTTTTGTTGTGGGTGTATTGTTGTGATAAGAGGGAGAGAGTATCTGTCACTGTGATTGATGGGTGTTGTTAGCTGGTCTTTTGTGTGCAGTGATCACCAGGGTCCTAATCACTGGGTAGAGTTTGTTGACCTTTTGCAGGGTGTATTTTTCAGTGCTGGGAGCCAGGCTTTGTTGAGTTTTAAACTTTCTTCTTTTTTGTTGAAGCTCTGCTTATTATGTCTATTTGTACATGAGCAAGTTCTTCAAGAGGTTCATGGATCTCTAGTTTGTTCAGCTAAATTCAGTGTCTTTCATACTTGTAGCTTTTACAGAAGAAGGTATATTAGTCTATGCAGGGACATCAGACCAACAAGAGAAACAAAAAGAACAAACAAGCCATGATGCCTTAAGGACTATGTGCTATTTTAATGGTAGCTTTTGTGGATCAAGTCCACTTCCTAAGACATTAGAGTGAGGCTAAATAACTGCCATATTATTGCTGCATGAGAGTGTAGTGATGTTATTCTACAGCAGAGCAAATCAACAGTCTACAAGCCAAATCTAGAAACAGGGGAAGCCCAAACAAAAATTTTGCTAACTCCCAGCTTTCCCTGTTTTTATTTCAAAAGACAACGTTCAGACCAAAAACTCCATGAACATGTGCTGAAAAGATGCTTTTCTTCATCAGGTTTCATATCTCAAAGAAAGGATTTGGAAATTGGACATAGTTATCTAATCTGTATTCTGCAGAGAGGGCATGGCAACGTTAGATTAGCTGACAGATTAAAGAGTGTGGCTGTTTCTCTATTGTTTATGTTGCAGCCACTCATACTTTTGCTTCATGATTTTGTTAAGTCCTTCAAAATATTTTGGCACAGATGGACTATAGCCGTATCCCAGCTGTTCTAGTTTCCATCTTATCCCTGCAGAAACAGTACAGATCATGTGTTCATCTTCTAGGATCCTCTAGCATTGTGTATTTATACATGAGGGAAGTTTCTTTTGGAATTTGTGTGTAGTGTTTGTATACTTAAACTTCCATTTTAAAAAGCCAGGAAATTAAATTCTTCAAAAATCTCTGATTTATAAATGTGGGATACTGTGCTTTGGTATCCACGATGCCAGGAAATGGCTTGATATTGTTGATATTGTTGCAGAATATTGTGTCTGTGTTACCAGCAAGAAAAAAGATGGAGGAGAAGTAATTAATTTATGAAAAAAAAGAGTCCCCTTCTGGGATTTTCCCTTGCTTGGTGTCACTTTGTGAATGGTAGTGAGTAGAAATGGGAGTATTTGTATTTGTATATGAATACCTCCACACAGCTGGACATAACAAGGGTCCACTCACACGTCTGCTGCTACTGCCGGTTTCACTCTTCCTTCCAATCGTTCCAGAGCTCACGGTCACCTATCCACTCTCAGATTGGCAGGGAAACTCATCTTCCCTCCTTCTGCCAGGAGTGGATAGTCAAACACAGGCTCCAGAGTGATTGGAAGGGAGAGCGGAGCCAGTGGTGGCAGCAAACATGTGAGTGGATGGTCCAGCCGCAGGGGGCCAGACCCTCATTACGTCTAGCTGTGCGGGGGTATTCATAGTCATATGTGAATACGAATACCCCCATATCTAGTAGTGTATCCTGTGGACCATCTTGACTGCTGCCATTGGTGTTGCCAACATCCAGGTTGCCTTTCAATATGTAAAGTTTGGCATCCTTTTCTCTGCCGGCAATATAGGCACAATATTGTGCAACAGTATCAGGCCATTTCTTGCCAATCTGAATTGTGGATACAGAAGTACAATATCATAAGAACGTAAGAAAAGCCCTGCTGGATCAGGCCAAGGGCCCATCTAGTCCAGCTTCCTGTACCTCACAGTGGCCCCACCAGATGCCTCTGGGAGCACACAAGGCAACTACATACCTGTCTATTGATACCCCTCCCCTGAATCTGGCATTTTGAGGTACATTCCTTTTAAGCCTGGAGATTATACATCCCCATCATGGCTTGTAACGTGCGATGGCCTTTTTGTCCAAAAATCTGTCCAATCCCCTTTTAGAGGCATCTAGGCCAAGTGCCATCACCACATCCTGTGGCAAGGAGTTCCACAGACTAACAACATGTTGGGTAAAGAAATATTTTCTTTTTTTTTTTTCTGTTCTCACTCTCTCAGCACTCAATTTGAGTGGATGTCCCCTGGTTCAGGTATTGCTTGAGAAGGAAAAGAGTTTCCCTCTATCCACGTTATCCATCCCCTGCATAATTTTATACGTCTCAGTCATGTCCCCACTCAGGTGCCTTTTCTCTAGACTAAAGAGTACCAAATGCTGTAGCCTTTCCTCATACGGGAGCTGCCCTAGCCCAATCGTAATTTTAGTTACTCTCTTCTGCACCTTTTCCAGTTCCACAATGTCTTTTTTCAGGTGCAGCAACCAGAATTGTATGCAATACTCCAGGTGCGGCCTTACCAGCATTTTGTACAATGGCATTATAATGTTGGCTGTTTTATTTTCAATCCCTTTTTTAATGATACCTAGCATGGAATTGGCCTTCTTCACTGCCACCGCCCACTTGATTGACACTTTCAGTGAGATGTCCACCAGCACACCAAGATCTCTTTCCTGATCCGTCACAGACATCTCAGAATCCATCAGCTGATAAAGTTTTGATTTTTTGCCCCAATGTGCATTAATTTACATTTTCTTATATTGAAACAATTTGCCATTTTGCTGCCCATTCTTCCTGTTTGGAGAGATCCTTCTGGAGCTCTTCACAATCCCTTCTGGTCTTCACCAGCCAGAAAATTTCGTATCATCTCCAAACGTAGCCACCTCACTGCTTATCCCCATCTCCAGGTCATTTATGAACAGACTGAAAAATACCAGTCCCAGGACAGATCCCTGGGACACACCACTTTTCACCTCTCTCCATTGTGAAAACTGCCCATAGACACCTAATCTCTGTTTCCTGGTACTCAATCAATTCTCAGTCCATAAGAGGACCTGCCCTCTTATCCACTGAATGTGGAGTTTTCTCAGCAGCCTTTGGTGAGGGACCACATCAAAGGCCTTCTGAAAATCTAGATAATATCCACTGGTTCATCCACATCCACATGCCTGTTGACCTTTTCAAAGAATTCTAAAAGGTTTGTGATACAAGACCTATTCCACATTCATAAATCAGAGGGTTTTTTAAAGAAATTAACTTATGCATAGCCCCATGACCAAGTGATAGTTCAGACATTGGACAAAGTGATAATGATTAGTAAAGAAACAGGACTTTCAAGCCATGAATAATTACAGTTAATAGTCTACAATGAAACAACAGTGTTGTTGACTCAAGTGCAAACTATCGGAATCTATGTGGGATTTCATGGTTAGTAATGACTTGGAAACCCTTGGTTGATAGTCCCTTGGAGTGTGTCTCCAGCATCCATAAGTACCTTCTCTCAGCTGTTCCTCAATCAGTTCTAGCCCTGTAATATTTGGGGTGTGTGTGTTCCTAACACAGTGACTTTCACAGCCTCCAAAGAGTGTCCAAGTACATTGAAATGTTCTGAAACAGTTTTTCATGTATTACCATTTCTGACATTAGATTTTTATCTATTAGTTATTTGCATTAAAATTGTCTTTTTGTCTTATGTAGAGTGAAGAAAGTAATTGTTGCCAAAGGATGGCACAGATCACATTAGCAGAGGATAATATAAAGGATTTTGTGTATGGGGCCTGTTTCCCAGGTAGCTAAAATTTAAAAAAATTAAAATAGTTTTTTTAAAAAAGCAAGTAGACCAGCAAAAACTGAGTACATTCAGTTGCCTTTGGGAGCCATGAAACACTGAAGGTATGAACCAGTAAATAAACTTTCAGAAAGTGGGAGGGGATGGAATTAATTGGCCTTAAAAAACCTAGGTATCTGTAAATAGGGATTAGTATCAAAGGCAAACTTCCTATGTGGTTCTTAAAAACTGCCCTGAAATATATGAAGTTTCAGGGCATGGGCACAGCTGGAAATGAAAATAGTAAAAGTAAAAAAATAGGTAATAAAAAGAGGGGCTATCTATTTTTTGATTAAACTAAACTGGAAAAATCTGGGCATTGAATTCAAACTCAACACAGTAACATCATTGTACTGCTTTAACAGAATTATACAAACTTCCATTATAAGCTTGTTGATTTCTATGTCAATAGTCTCCTTTTTTAAAGCTTCTACAATGTGAACTTAACCTTCCTGAGGAATATGCTGATGAAATATTGGCTGAAATTCTGTTGCCAGAAGTTATACTGTGTAAGACTGATGCCACAACAATTCTTTCAAAATANCCCCCCCCCCCCCCCAGACACAGGCACACCATCCCACAGCTCCTAAGCAAGCCTTGAGAGCAGGATAGGGTGGGGACAAGAATCTTGAATTTCAGAAATATTGCTGTGGCCTATGATGTCATCAGCCTTATGTGGTGTAAGATGGACATCCACCAATGAAAGTGGGATTCTATTGTAATCCTCCGGTGGCTGCTGTTCCTATCCTTCCTCTCTCTTTTTCTCTCTTTCTTTTTGTGAATCACAGCAGAGAGGATTAACCTTATCTCCAATACATCCATGTTTTTTCTCTTCCCTACTGCAGCCCATTAAGAGATATATACTGGTGAGTAGGCGTGTGTGTGTGTGTGTTATTCACTCACAGCTTTTTTTATTTGTGATTGTTCATAAGGCAACAATTGCCCTCTGTTCTTTCTGCATTTCACATTTCCCTGACAACAGTGGCTACAATCCTCCTTTCATCCAAGCCTGTGTATGTGTAACTAAGCATAATTCAATTCTAAAAAAAATATTTTTAATAAATATGGAGTAGCTTTTACAGAAGAAGGTGTATTCGTCTATGCAGGGACATCAGACCAACAAGAGAAACAAAAAGAACAAACAAGCCATGATGCCTTAAGGACTATGTGCTGGAGGTCCAAGGTTGGGGACCACTGGTCTACAGGATACCTTCTTGGGCCAGCTACCATTTACAGAGACATCAAATCTCAGAACCTGACTCCTTTTTTCATCACTTCTCACCTTGTCAGGGCTGTTTTTCAACAAATTCTCTAGGAAGGAGTTGTCTACTATAACTGTGCCAAATTTGGTGCTGGTCCAAAGCCCAGTTTAAAAGATATAATTTTTTGTCTGGGCTACCCCCATTTTTAGAATTGCCTTGTAGAATATTAATTTGTTTAGCCACACAATATGATCACTGCCTTCTCATGCAGCTATAATGTATCATACATCTCAATGCATCATTTAGGTTCCACATGATCTTTGAGTTTCTTAGTATGCTAACTCCCCTGACTGGCTGATAAATAATGTAACTAATAAGGATTCTAGTTTCATTCTCTGGCAAGGTAAGTAAAGGGCCTGCGTGTTTCTGTAGGCAGATAGCAGATAAGAACAGAATTTCCTACAGAGTGGAGGCAAGATCTCATTCGCAGGGGCTAAGATGACCTTGCCAGTCTCACCAGCCGTTGTCCAAGCACAGAATGAAGAATATAATATAAAATCAACCTGTGCCTTATTTATCTTTAATGATCACTCCCACACAAACTGAATGAGGCAGACGGACAGGTAGTTCTAAAAGAAACAGGCCTGTTGTTAATCAGGTCCCACATTTATAGTACAAGGGTACACAGGACAAAAGGCCTGTGTGGACATATGGACTGAACTGGCCTACAGATATATGGCCTATGGAATGGACTACTGATCTGAGGAATGGCCTGCTTATGGAGTGGCATTGAGGAAATCTTTGGTTTGCTTCATCCACAGCACAACGGATTGTTTCCTGTTGGCAAAAAGGACTGAGGATATATTCCAGCCTGGACTTTTTGTGTGACGGAATGAGCAAAAAAGACGGATACATGATGGCTGTGGCTGAGCTGCAAGACAGTGGAGCAGTATGGACAGGCTACAAGGTTGAAACCATTGGATGGCTCCAGGCCTAGAGTGTATCCTGATAAGTTGCTATGGTCACATCATCTGCTGCAGGACAAAGAGGTGACTGGCTTTCTTGGAATAAAGAAAAGTGGGGCAATGCATTTTTCTCTCTCGGTTTGCTATCTACAAACCCAGAACCGAATTTTAGTAGTGAAGGTAAAGAAGTCAACCAGAATACAAGAAAACTAGAGACATTGGTGGAGCCAAGCAATTATTGTATATAGATCAGTGATTCTCTACCTCGGCTCCCCAGGTGTACTTGGACTAAAATTCCCAGCAGCTTTCACCACTAGCTGTGCTTGCCAAGATTTCAAGAAGTTGCAGTCCAAGAACATCTGGGGGCACAAGGTTGGGACGCACTGTTCTAAGTGCCTCCCTTGCTACAAGCCTACACCATAAAAGCTTGACGTTAGGCTTTTCTCTCTCTAAGTGCCTCCCTTGCTACAAGCCTACACGATAACGTTAGGCTTTTCTCTCACACACTGCCAGTAGAAAGGGCAAAGCCATGCTCCCAGCCCAATGCAAAACAGCTCATCACCGTGATTTTAAAAGTGTCTGATGCACTAATGACAAGCCATATTAGTTATATAAATGACCAAACTTTAGCCCTCCTTTGTTCTGCATGGTGCGGTTGTCCACACCTTTCCTCTTTTGCCCAGCTTTCCTTTCCCTCTCATCATCTTCTCCAACCTTCTGGCCCTAATTTGCCCAGACCATACGATCTTCCAAGGATACTCAGATGTACAATAAAGAAAGCTTCCTGCACCCTTACAAAATGTGTAGACTAGAGATTGTTAGCAGGTGTAGCTGAGAAAGGAAGAAAAGCACTCACACAGTGATGAGAGAGACCAGAGCAGTTCTGACTGCCCCTGCTCCCCGCAACAATGGCACAGAGATTTAAAATGCTTACATGCAACGAAGCAGACCGGAAGCCATGTGTTTCCTGATATATTCCTTCAGCATATGCCTAGATTATGGCATTCCAGACATATATTGTAGCACCATAAATATTCCAAAACTACATCAAAAGTAATGTAGCCAGATTGACCTGAAGGCATGGTGAGAATCAGAAGAGGTGTTTTTTGTTTTTTTAAATCATGAATTTAATGGGGGAGCAATCCCATTCCATACATATGCATTTAATCTTCTAGGTGGGTGATAGCATCAAATACTGCTACCGTTTTGCATAATGATGTGTAGATCTAAAATTAAACTGGTTTCAACAGGGCAAGATGTCTTTAAATGTTTAGCCTTGTAATGTCTGAAACATTTTTCTAAAATAAAACAATAAAAAAAGGAAACACATAATTACAGGTGTTGAAAAAATGAATCTAATTCTCTGGGCAAATGATCTGTGGAATCAGTTTTCCACCCATAATTTTAAATGCCAGATTTTGAACAGCAGAGAAAATAATGGACTTCCTTTTTCATTCCAATTTTTTCCAACTTCAATAAGAGCAGTTTTCTCTCAAGACTGATGTTTGTAGTATTCGGTGTGTCAGTTACTTAATTTCTGTTTTGCAGGTACAGGTGGCTTTGCAGTTTGTCTTCATCAGTTCTTCACTACAGCTGGACATTCCTAGCAGTACATCACAGTCCGTGATACGATCCGCATACTTGCATGAGTTGGCTGTAAGGGATCAGACCAAAAACAAATTAGATGATAAACAGAGACACCCACCCAGTCTATTAATCTTGATTGATGTTGCTTTCTGGTTTGTACACTGCATTGTTTTAATCTACTTGCAGTCAAAATCCTTTCTGATGAAGACTCTTAGTTGACCTTGCCCTGAGCATTCTTTGTGTCATCTGCATGTGCCCTTTACAATTTCGATTCCTTTCAGCAATGTGCTCCATTTGGCATAGTCTTTCAGAACACTTATAACTGATACTATATAGTACTGTGGCTTCTTTATAATGATAGCATGATGTAATACAAACATATGCTACTATTTTGAGTATCTTTCCAAACTTTCTATCTGGTTCTAGGCTCACTATAAGAAAAGAGCTAGCCATCAAGAGAGGCTTGAAAAGTCTGGCCCCAAGGAATGTGGTAGCCCTGGAGCTCTTTCCTACGGTTCTTCTCAAAAGGGAGCTTCATTCTGAATGAAACCTTTCATTGTGATTCTTAAAGGGATGAGAATTTTCAAGCAGCTCACAGGTCCAAATCTTTAGCTTAAAAAAAAGAGGGAGGGGGATTTATGGCAAACCTAATAGGGGTTTCTAAGTATGTGAGATATTTAAGACAGCTTTTACCACTGCCACCACTGCCCTGGAGAGCTTCAATGTGCAAGTTAGGATTTAAACCCAGATCTCCTGAGTCCCTAGTCCAACAGTATCCTTGACACTACACCGTCTCAAAGGCTATTAGTCCACAAAAAATGACACAGATGAGCTCCTCAGGCAGAGGTTTTAACAGATGCTGTTGGACCACAACCCCCTCATCTCTGGCGTCTGGCTAGGCAGGCAAGATAGAATCAGTAGCCCAACATATGTGGGGACCCAGGTTTGTGCAGCACTCCACTAAAATGACTAGCTTTATAACAGCTTCTGGAACTGGTTCCCTATATTTATAACTGATCGCTCAGAACTCAAGAAACTATTTGTTTTGAATCTTCAGTAACTTACTGCAGAGTTTATTCTCACAGCTGTTTGGGCATGCTTCACAAGGTCTGCCTGCTTTGTAGGGTGTTCGCATTAACGGTTTTCTGTTTCCTCTGAAATCACAGAAAAATGTAATCTTTTTCTCATGCAAGTAATGTTCTTAAAGTTGAGCATGTCAAGAAGAATGACTGCTATAACTTACCTACCGTGGCAGTTTTCATGAAGCTCAAATTACTTTTGATACATTAGTTGGATCAAATATCTATTGGAAGTAGCACATGCCATTGAAGAATTACACAGATAAGGGAGGAAAATCATACCAGTAACATTTCAGCCAAGTGACTCCACATTGTGTTTGACTGCACTCTCACTGAAGCATTTTGGCACAGCACTTTAGCCGGTACAACGGACAATACATAACCCAATGCTTCATTAATGTGTTATCAGACAGCAGATGCCTTCTTCCAGTGGTCAATCATCTCCTACATAAAGGAAAATCCTAAGAATATTTGTGTAGAGTTGTTACAAAGGGGACAGACACTCTAAGACATGCCAAGACATGCCTTCCTGTTTGTCTTTGTGAGACCCCTCGATGGGGAGTTGGTCAAAGCTCTTGCTTGAATAACACATACTTGCTGATTGTTATGACAGTTATATTTGCCACATTAATTTTTCTTCACTATAGACTATACTTTCCATTTAAAACTTGGTGGGCATTGCTGCCAAGAGTTTGCCAGCATAACTGGCACATCGGATGATCTGTAGCCCCAAGCTGAAAACTTTGTGAATTGTAGTAAAATGTAATCACCTATTGTGATGGACAGGTCAGGAACCACTCCTGTCCATCACAATGGAACCCTGATTCAGGAGCCAATGGCTGTACAGAAGAGGCGGGATGAAGGATATATAAGAGAATGATGACCGTTAAAGAGCAGTTAGAGTCTGAGTTTGGAGTCAGTTAGGGATGGGTTAGGGACTGGTGTTAGAGAAAAGCAGTTCAGGCAGTTAGGACCATCCTGGTGTTAGAGAAGAATAGAGAGACAGAGAACAAGATATGAAATGAATAAATACTTGGATTAACATGATTCTACCTAAGCAAATATAAATGTTACCAAAGCACAGTTTATTGAATAAATGAAATAAGCCCATCCATGATTTACTTTACATGATTTACTTAAGAACATTTTAATAAACATTGTTTCATTGAATAACACTGATTTAAGAGTTATATTTGACAGAGGGAGGAGAAATCCTCCGGTGGCAGCGGAAAAGGGTTGGAAATTGTCATACCCAAAAGGGTTGAAAATTGTGGAAGAACACAGGGGAACTGGGGGTGTGTGACACCTGTCCAATCTCCAATTCACCTTTTGATGTTATTCTAGGTTATTATACCCTCCACACACAACCCTGCAGCCAACAAACTCATCTTGCCACCTTGCCCCACCCAGGAGATGCCTTCATCTTGATTAGAAAATGTAATAAACACCATAGAAAATAATTCCCTGTGTCTAAAATTTACCATATTTTTTGCTCCATAAGACACACTTTCCCCTCCCCAAAAAAACCTGGGGTGTGTGTGCATCTTATGGAGCAAATACTGTAAAAATTGTGCAATTTGTGGACATTAACAGCCCCCCTCCCAGCGCCCATGCCACTGTCATACGTGGCTGTGTTCTGTACTCCTCCCCCCCCAACAATCTTTTTTTACCCTCCTGACCCCAACCCAAGCCCAACAGCACACCCTGGGAATCTTCTTTGGCTTCCCACTACCAGCAACGAAAGCTCAACTCTACAGGGAAAGAAGCAAACTGCCTCCTGTCTTCCATGCTGCCACCTCCAGCTTCCCCCTTTCATGTCTGCCACCGATATTGGTTTGTTCAGTACCAGGATGAGCCCCCACTGCTGCCATTGTCACCAGGCCGTCCTTCTCCTCCCCTTCCGGGGCAGGGCCTAGGAGCACTTCCGGACCATGAGCGGTCAACTGACGAATCCCATAGAGATGATGAGCTGGCTGGGGCGGTAAGGGAGCTGGTGGCTCCCTACCAGATACCTTAGCAGTTTTAGGTGCGTGCGCCAAGACAGAGCGTACCATTATGTGAAAGGGGGCGGAGTTTTACTTCCAGCACTCTTCGTGGGAACAATTCCTTGCATTGCACTTGTTCAGAATATTATTTTTCCTGTTTTCCTCCTCTAAAAATTAGGTGCGTCTTATGGAGTGAAAAATACCACTTCGTAATGCTGTTGTTGTTAATGCTGTTGTTGCTGCATACTATCAAGGTGTTTCAGATTTATGGCAACTGTATTTTCCCTCGCAACACTAGTTCATTTTTATATAAAGCTTGAGGATCCCTATGTATGCATCAAAGAGCAAATGGGAATTTTGAAGAGGGTGAATTAAGAACACTACAAGTCAGAATGGATACTTACGCGGGACAATAATGACAGATATATCTGAAAGGTGTCAACTGATCCTTGCACACAGCAGCTGCACATCCAACCCGATGCGAATTATACCAAATCAGCTACAAACATAAAGGGGGGATGGAGGTGGGATTAAAAACTATACTTTAATCCAAAATTCATTCCTTAGTAATTCATTTAATCATAGGAAGCATATCTAGTTCAGTCAGGCAGCAAAGTTATCTTGTGATGTGCTGTCAAATCACTTCTGACTTGTGCTGACCCTGGGAATTACTGACCTCCAAAAGGGCCTCATCATTAAAAGTCTTGGCAACTCAGGGGGAGCTCTTTCGGAACTCTCTCTTCATTTAGTACCATTTGGGACTCTACTGTTTGGTACTCTTGAGTTTCCCTTACAACTCTGTTAGTAATTGATTCACAATTTATCCTTCTTGAAAATATTATTGATGGCTAGAGATAGGCATGAAGCAAACTACAAAACAGGAAAAAAATGAAGCAGGCTGGTTCGTGGTTCAGTTTGCACAAGCCATTTTGCTGGAATAAAATGAAGTGCCAAACTTAATTTTGCTTTGTGCTTCATTTTGTTTTGGCAAAAAAGAGGCTCCCCACCTGTTCCTGCTGCCCCCATCCCTTCTCACTGCCCCTATTGCCTCCCTACCTGGCCCTGCCACCACCTCCTCCATCTTCAGAGTCAGCAGAAGAGGAAGCAGGGAGGTGATGGGGCAGTGGGAAAGGGGGCAGGGGCAATGAAAAGGAGGTGGATATGTTAGGTTCCCCACCCCCAGGTATAAACTGGTTCCTTTTTCCAGGGCTCAGGGGTGGTTTGTGGTTCGTGGGTAGCCACAAAGCACTCTGATTCATGGTTTTTCCAGTTCGTGCCCATCTCTATTTATGACCCTCTAGAATATCATGAGAAGAAAGGAATTTATAAAAGGAATTGACACAATGACTGAAATCTAGTAATGTAAAGTTACACCGCCTAAGTCTGGTGATGTCATTCACCACAGACATGTTTTGGTAATCAAAGGTTTCCAGAATTGCTTTAAACTGAGTCAGGTAGGCAGTAGTGATGCCGGACTAACATCAAGTGAGGATTTGTAGGACCAGAGGTGAGATACAGGCCAGAGAAGGCTGTGGGAGGTAGGAGAGAGGTAGGAGGTGGTGGAAAGGTAGCAATAGCAGCAACTCTTTTCTTTGCACACAAGTTCGTAGGAAAGCTCAGATCATCCCTGTGTACTTCACTCCAAAATTCACAATTCTTCCCTGGCTGAGCTCTTTGTACCCTCTGGCTCTATCTTGGGCATGCTACAGTCCTCCACTTACAGAAACTTTCCCTGTTCTGAAATGGGTGTTTGCAACAACTTTTGTAGTTGTTCACTTGCATGAACAGTCTTCATGTGCTTTGGGCCTGCTGAACAGTCACTAGGTCTGAAAACCTTTTCCGGCTCCAAAGTTAGATGGCTGCAAGATTCATTCTTTACACTCTGTTTCTCAGTCATGTTGCATGTGTTTCTGTCTTACAAAGTTCCATGCTCTAAATTGGACATTTGCAACTTGTCAAATTCCTTTTGAAAATTTAGCAAAAGTTGAAATAGATGTTTCATGCAAGATGCCAAATTTAGGGCTGTCTACAGTGCCTCTTCTTGAGCAAACTGGTGCAGGCTAAATAGGGTCACTTGAGGTTGGGTGAAGGTGCAATGTGCAATTTGGTGTGATCCTTACATCCAAATGGCATGTCAAAGTGGCCCTGTTTGATCCAGTTCCTTCCAGTACTGTGAAGTGGCTTAATAAAGGATTGATTTGTAGAAGAAAAGCAAGCTTCTGAATCTTCCCAGTCCTTCCATTTCTGGCCACAGACTGCTTTTACCTGACAAAATCCTCAACTTTTGAAGGAGCTTCTCATGAGCTCCTTCAAGAGACACAGGAAGGATAGAAGTAGGGGAGGATGTCTGCTCAAAAGTGTTGGTCCGCAGTTAATGTTATTTCTCAAATATCAAACTATATCACAAATGGAGGCTTCTGTTCATACCTGAGTATAGATATCACTACCATTTAAGTCACCAACTGGCCCAATTCTATACCGGAAATTAGAAGCTTTAGTACCCCAGTATTGGATTATATTTTCCCATGAAGTGGGTGTGGTTGATTGGTAAACGTTCTCACCACAGTAGATCCCTGCAATGAGAGAATATATGGCTGTATTTAATAAACATACTTCAGATTACCTTCGTGATTAAATTACCCCAATAATTTGCACTCAGAGACACACACTCACCTTCATAAAAAGGCCAAGAAGCACTCAAACAGACTTTTCAGCCAAAAATATAAGTAAGTTAACATGTTGTGATTACTATTATATTCTTCATTAAAATGTTGTAAAAATATAATATAATTATATGGAACAGTTAAATGAAACAATATACTGTATAAAATATTGTAAAATATAATCTAACATTAAATTATATTATATATATAAAATTTAATGTTAGATTATATTTTACAATATTTTATATAATGTTTATTTAACATTAGATTATATTTGAAGAAGTCTTGCATTATTCCTTTCCAGCTCCAGAAACAAAGAATAAATAAATACGCCCCCTCAAAATACAATAATCCCAAATGACCTTACCAAAGCAACATTTTTGGAATAGTGAATAAATGCTGTCCCATATATTTTTTAAAAGAGTAACTACATTGCTTTTCAAAAGTACTAGTGTTTGTAATGCTGTAACCTCTGAAGTATCATTGCAGATATCCATGTTCCTTACTTGCTGTATGTACGAATGGCTGTATTAACCTGCCTTTTCCATCTGACTTGCAACTTGTAATGTTTTCCTCTCAAACTCTGTTCACAAGTTCTTAGTAAATATCCTGTCTGGTACATGTGCAGGTCTGACAGCAGAAACTGCCAGAGTGATCAGACAGGGAGAGGGGAAACAGCTGCCAGCTGCATGCAACTGGCACCTCACCAATCACTGTGACAGCTCCTGTCACAGTGTCATACTTACATAAATGTTGAACAGGATACTGGCCATTGTATGTGGTTTTTAAAATAGAGTTGGAAAAAAACCCTCAATATTTTGAGCAGTTGTATGGTGCAGTCTGTTTAATCCTTTCCCATCAGGGCATTTTCCTGTTCAAAATGTCCCCCCCCAAAAAAAAAGTGTGCTGCTTATATACCGCCCCATAGTGCTTCAAGCACTCTCTGAGCGGTTTACAAGTTAATTATGCAGGCTACACATTGCCCCCCCCAGGAGAGCTGGGTACTCATTTTACTGACCTCAGAAGGATAGAAGGCTGAGTCAACCTTGAGACGGCTACCTGGGATTGAACCCCAGGTCGTGAGCACAGTTTTGGTTGCAGTACAGCAGTTTAAGCACTGCGCCATGAGGCTCTAACCATATTTCTCTTCTCACAAGTCATCACTGGGCACACCCATGGCCAGTTAGGCAGCCAAACACCAATCCCTGTGGCATTATGTCTCTCCCTCCTTGTAGCTGCCTGTTCACCTATCTGTTTATGCAAGTTGCCACCAGAGGCCAAACTTTTAATGATTATAAATATGTACTGTATTTTTTCATGTATGACACCCCCATGTATAAGACACCCCCCACTTTTCTAACCCAAAATTAATAAATCTAAGCGGGGTTTAGCAAGTGGAGGGGGGAAGCAGGGATCAAAGTGCTGCAGGATAGCTTTGATCCCTGTTTTCTCCTTTCTTGCTAAGCCCACTTAGCAAGTGGATGGGAAGGCAGGGATCAATGTGCTTTGATTCCTGCTTTCCCCCTCCTTATGCCCGTGTATAAGATGACCTTCAATTTTTAATCTAAAGATTTTAGACAAAAGTATCATCTTATACACAGAAAAATATGGTAGTTTAGCCAGTAAGGCTTCTTTCTTTCTCTCTCTTTTTTTCTCTCTCTCTCTTTCTCCCTCTCTCTTTTCTCACACACACAACTAAACAAGACACAAGTTTAAGCATGTGGTTCTTCTCTTACGTTAAGGCTCCTTTCCTTTTCATAAGAAGCAGTGCAGGAATGTCTGGAAGTTGAGTCACGGCCACTGGACTTCTTTCTTATTAGTTTGAAACATTTCACTACTCATCCAAGCAGCTTCTTCAGTCTGAGGAGAGTTGGTAGGAAACTCTCCTCAGACTGAAGAAGCTACTTGGATAAATTCTGAAACATTTCGACCTAATAAGAAGTCCAGTTGCCATGACTCAGCTTCCAGATAACCTCACCTGGATGACTGAGAATCTTCACAGATACAGTACAGGAAGGGTGTGATTATAGTAGGAGGTAGAAGGCTTTACCCCGACCCAGCCATGCTCAAAATTCCCCCTCCCCTTGCTGTCTCTCTCTCTCTCTCTCTCTCACACACACACACACACACAGAGAGAGAGAGAGAGAGAGAGAGAGAGAGAGAGAGAGAGAGAGAGAGAGAGAGAGAGAGAGAGAGAGAGAGAGAGAGAGAGAGAGAGAGAGAGAGAGAGAGAGAGAGAGAGAGAGAGAGAGAGAGAGAGAGAGAGAGAGCACATTGGTGCATTCAGCAGCAAAACTATGCATAGTATGCAGTGTTTGGGCCTGAGAAGAATAAGGAGAAGGAACCCTAACCTTCAGTTATTTTGTCTTTCACATCTAAAAGGTGGTGCAGATCAAGTACAGGGGGCAGGACAAGCAACTACCTACTTTCCCTGTATATTCATATGAAAAAATGCCCTTCGTTTCTTCATATAACTTACCATCAACAATCCGCTCCTCTGCAGGACTGATTCCTTCTTTACATTTTGAAACCCATTTTTTAGCAGTCTCACTGGCTTTTGGATCCCATGTCTTAGCAAAGCAAAAAGAAGGGGGGGGAGAGAGAGAAAATCTTTTTTACTAGTCCACTCCCTTGTTGGGATAAATGTGGCATATAAATAAAACTAATAAAATAAATAAATAAGCACATTCAAGAGCACTTAACATCTCACTGGTTATCTATATGGTGGGAGTGGAGACTGAATCTAGACCTCCAATTTTCCATCTGAAAGTAATAATGTTTTAGAAAGGTCTTCACATACAAAGCTCCAGCTGCTGAAGTGCAAAAAGAAACCAGACCTACAGTATTTACTTATACATGCAGTTCTCTATCCAGACAAAGGTGCATGTGTGGAAGCCAGTTGTGTTTATCACTGGTATGGTAGACACTGGCACCTTTTGATTTTCTAACAGCAGTGTATGAGTGTTTGAACTCACCCAGAATATGAGCTCACTCCATTGCAGTACATCATATTTAGGCATTTCTTGGTCTTGAATGGGCATGCAGGACTCATGAGCTCTGCAAAATGCCCACCTCTGCTGGAGATGAACAGTTAAGCTGTTTTGTTGATATGGTTCAGAACAATTACCTGCCTTTCTGAATCCTCCTTTTCCACCAGTATTTAAGAGATGACCACTACACTACTAGCCGTGTTATTCAAGGGACAATTTGCAAATTATTGAAATGTTTGTCCTTTCACTTTGGATGATTAATTGCAGTTTTTATCAGTGCATTGGAAATGCTTCATCAAAAGACAGAGAGTCGATATCCATAGCTGGTTTCAATAGGAAAGATATTTGCTATGAAACTGGTACTTCCCACCCAATGCCTTTAGGTCCTCTCCTACCACCATGTTGAACTCTGTTTTTGTGGGGTTTTTTTTATGAAGGATGTTGACTTTTTTCCACCCAGTTTTCCATTTTCTTGAGATCATGGTTAACATGAGCCCTGCTTTCTGGAGTCTTAGCTCTCTCTCTCTCTCAGGTGAATACACCCAATGATATCACCATTAATATTATATTTTATAGACAGTCAGGATGATAGTGTATATGAGTTGCTTATCCAGTTTTCAGATGACATAAAGTTAGGAGCCAGCATCATAAAAGACATAGTCAGAAACTTGACAGAACAAGGCTAGAACCAATGAATGGAAAGTGAAATGAAGCAAAGTTCAACTGAATGTTGGAGAAACTTCTTGACTGTGACAGTTGTGTGGCAGTAAAACAAGCTGCCTTTAGAGCTGATGGGCTCTCTTTTGTTAGAGATATTTAATACTTTAAGACATTAAGGTGGGCAGTCATCAATCCACAATGTTGTAACCATACTGCAGAGCCTATATTGAGTTGGGTGGGATCAGCAATGGGCACTTTATGAGGGCTCCCACCACTCCAGGGCCATCACCAAGTCTGGAGTGGGGAAACAACCCCGTTTGCCTTTTTAATAGCAGATTTTTTTTCTTCTTTTTTCTTTTTCTTTTATGCATCTTTTTAGTCGAAATCTTTGGATACATGGGTCTCAAGACCTTTCCATTTTGGCTCTATGTTTTGCAGATGAACTATGCCACAGTTCCATAAAAGCCACAGTGAAGCATCTCCATACTATTCAACAATGTCAATGAACTGTCTCTTACCATTTTCAGCATATTGCTGGCAGTTGGTTTAACCGACCTTCGGATGGCATTATGTTTGTCAATAATGTCCTTTTGTATCTTTGCAGGCATGTCACCCACTACTGTTTTACTCTAAAGTTAAAAAAAAGGTGGGAGACGAAATTAGCGATTTTGAAAAATTCCAGTTCTGTCATGTTTATGTCTCTAATATTCTACTAAGACACCAAAGGATGTTGGGTTTTGCCTGACATGCTTGCACAAACTAACACAGCTATCTCTTACAAAGGATGTTGTAAATTTCATCTTTGATTTTTAAATCACTGGGCATCTAACCCAACCAGAAATGTATTTATCTAGTGGGATCCTATGAAGGCTCTCTAGCCATTAGTGTTTGCAGAGGAACAAGTTATGGTCTTCCTTTTCCCTTACAAGTAATCACTAAAGTGGTTGATCCTACACAATTTTCTCTTATACAGATATTATATCTGTTACTTCTGCCTTGAAGGGTTGATTCATAAAACTCATCTGCTCTTTTTATAGTAGTAAAGACTTGTGGTTCAAATCACACATTAAGGAAAATGTATATTTCTCCCTCTTACACCATTATCCCTCCAGACATTTTGCCTGAGACATCAGGTATGCAAATAGAGTAGAGCCATCTCCCTGTTTGGCACTTACAAATCAAAAGCAGTCTAATTTGCCAAAAATATTCAGGTAGATTGAGTAAGCTCATTGTAAAGTAAACAGAATGTTTTCCTCAGGCCCCATCAATACCAAAGTGAGACTTCTCTGAATCTGTAGGAATACATGGGAATGCCTTCAGAAAAAGAGAACTGTGTAGTATTGACCAACAGTGATGGGGCATTTTCCTCATCACCTTGATAATGAAAACATTGTTGGCTGAGATGAACAGGAACTCTATAAAAAGCAAAGTAGCACAATTGGTAACCCCGTAGGAAGATCCAGCAGCTGTTTAGGTGACTGGACAACTTGGCAGCTGAAATTAAAATGACTGCATCATTTTAGTGTGGTAAATTAGACTGAAGAGGAACCTTGCTAGAAACATAGAGGTGGAGTAAAAGAGGCAATAATTAAAACCACTCAATAAATCCAAAGAAATTGGAAAGCTACATGGCAGGAATGAGCCTTCCTTAATTAAGGAATACTCTAAGAATTTGTCACAAAGCTGCAGATCAGCATTTCTAGTGTTCATTAAGGGTCTGAGGAAAATGCTCAAAATTTCTTAACCAAAATGGTTCACAATAGAAAGACTGCAATCCAATGTATGGTAAAATGTCTTGATTGAATTCTCACAGACTGGTGACTTGGGTGAAATCCAATTGTTAGTGCCAACTAGAATAGCTATAAGAAACATGACTTGTTTACTCAACAGTAATGTGACTTGGTGGGTCTACTCTACTCTAGCATTCCAGATAAATTGCTGTTTCCTGGAATATAGTTGTTATGCAACACAACAGAGATCGGTCCTATTCTTTACTAAGCAAGAACATGCCTTTCTATAAGCCTAGTGCTCATGTGCTTTCTGTCACCAATTCAAACTATATGAAACCAGCTGCACAGCTAGAAGGCGAGAAAATGTTATCTTTCCCTAATCCTTCATACTTGCAGTGTTTATACAATCCCACTTGAAAATGAAACTTGTGTTTATCTCCTAATAACTAATCACAAAAGGAAAGCTTTAAGTTTTCTCATACAAAGCTGAGAAATTCTCATGCTAAGATAAATATGTTTTATCTCCTGAGGGAATTCTGCTTCTAATGACATGCAAATTACACTGTATAATTTGACCTTTGACACACACACCCAATGCATGGGGGGCAGATAGCAATAATTCCTCCCGTGGAGACATGTTTCTACGGCATTAGGTGCTGCTGCTGCTGCTGCTGTTCTGTTTTGGAGCCAGCAATGGCCTTCCAGTTAATCCTTCACATTTCAAGGTTGAGAGAAGTTACCAGGGAGACAGAGGAAGTATGTGAGTTCTCCTCAGTCAGCCCAGTTGCATGCATCTAAGTCAGGATCTACCCCTATATTTCTTTAATAAGTCTATTTCAATCCCTCTCCTTTCCAGGGATTTTTTTAAAAATGCCTTTTGCATTTTAACAAAGACCAATAGACAAGAAAGGCTCTTTCTGTGTTTTTTCACTGACTGGTAAAAGAGAACCTCTAAAACATTAAGGATTTGCATTTACAAAAGAGGGGTACATGTTTTTCTCTCTTGTATAACATTTCTTTCTTCTCTTTTCTATCAAAAGGCTGTTTTTCCTCCTCAGTTTGGTGTTGTTTTCTTGTTTGGAGAAGCCATTTGCCTGTAGGGACCAATTCAGATGGTTGAGTTTGGTGCTGAAAAATTGAGCTTCACAGTTCTGATTTGCCGGTCTATCAGTGTTTCGATTATGCATCCTTTTTTGCTGTGGGTAGTGGTTGGAGATTTTGTGTAGGTACCGGACTGTGTGGGTGGGTTTTCTGTAGACTTTGTGTCCCAGGAGGTCAGTTTTGCATATGAGCATGACATCTAAGAAAGGGAGTTGGCCCCCAAGAAAACAACACCAAACCGAAGAGGAAAAACAGCCACCCACAAATAAAGTATTTCTGCCATACATCAAAGGGGTCACAGACCGCAAGGGGAAACTTTTGAAAAAAACACAACCTACAAACAGTATTCCCCTTTACAGATTGCTGCCTTGTCATGGCGAAGCAATATGAGCATGACATCTAAGAAAGGGAGTTGGCCCCCAAGAAAACAACACCAAACCGAAGAGGAAAAACAGCCACCCACAAATAAAGTATTTCTGCCATACATCAAAGGGGTCACAGACCGCAAGGGGAAACTTTTGAAAAAAACACAACCTACAAACAGTATTCCCCTTTACAGATTGCTGCCTTGTCATGGCGAAGCAGCTTGAGTAATTCAGACAAGCTATGGGCTATGCCGTGCAGGGACACCCAAGTCAGACAGGTCGTAGTGGAGAGTTCTGACTAAACACAATCCACCTGCAGCAGGAACTGGCAAGCCACTCCACTATCTTTGCCAAGAAAACTCAAT